CCACGCGCCTACGCGGAGGCGGCGGGGAGGCTCCGGCGAGGGGCTGCCACAGGGGCTGCCGCACGCCTCGCGGGCCGGCAGCACGCGCCGCATCGTGTTTCCGATGGCGTGCGTCACCGGGTGGACGTTGTTGAGCGCCTTCATCGCTACCTCGGAGTAGCCGTAAAAGTAGAGCCCCGTCGCCGCCACCTGGCCGGCGAGGCCGAGCGAGCCGGCAGGGTAGCCTGCGGCGGCGCTCGCCCACAGGGCGGGTAGCGCCCGCCCCTCGACGAGCAGAGCGGCAGGCACAGAGACGGCGGCCGAGATGCAGGTGAGCAGGCCGAACATGTCCGCGGGCGCGAGCTTGTCGCCGTCCGAGGTGGAGAGGGCGCCCATCGACTGCTTGGAGAGGACGTTGCGGAGGGCGAGGGCGAGGTCGGAGGCGACGGCGCCGAGGAGCGCGGCCCACGCGAACGAGAGCTCTTTGAGGGTCGCGAGGCCGACGCCGGCGATGATCGGGGCGAGCGAGAGCCAGACGCGGAGGGAGACGGCCTGAGGAGGAGGCGGGAGGGAGGGTCGAGTTTCGGCGGCCAGGTCGGCAGGGCACGAGAGAGAGAGGGGGGGTGGAGAGGGAGGCGGAGACGGAGGCCGAGACGGAGGCCGAGAGGGAGGCGGGCCTGCTTCAGCACTGCGGCAGAGAGGACGCAGGCGTAGACCGGGCCGGCTGCCTTGACGACCTGCGCGAAGGAGACGGACCCCGCCGCCGTGCCGACTGTGCCGGCGATGTGGCCGATGGCGTGGAAGGTACCAATCGGGATCAACGCGCGGTATGTGGCTGCGGAAAGGCGAGGCCGGCGCCGGAGGCCGGTCAACCAGAGCAGGTTGACAAAGAGCGAGCCGACGACGACAGTCGCCGTCGCGACCGACCACGGGCAGGGCAGCGCGTTGGTGACGCGCTTGTTTGTGATGGAGTAGCCGACCGAGAGCAGGAACCAGAGCGCAAAATAGCCTCCGACCTTGAGCCGCTGGACGACGCCCGATGGCGCCACGACGGCGCACTCCTCGGCGTCGCAAAAGGCGAGGCATCCGTCCGAATCGGCGTCGCACGGGACACTCACGAGCTGCATCTCGCCACGCGCAAAGGCAACGGCGCTGGCTGGGGTAAGGCTGACCACCTTCTGCGGCTGCTGCGCAGCAGAGGCCACCGGAGAAGAGAGCCGCGGCGAGGAGAGCGCGGCGCGCGAATGGGAGAGCGCAGCAGAGGCCACCGGAGAAGAGAGCCGCGGCGAGGAGAGCGCGGCGCGCGAATGGGAGAGCGCAGCAGCCGCCGGGGCGAGTAACAGCAGAGCGAGGCTGCGGGAAGATGACATCGACGTTGCCCTCATCAAGGGGAGCCGAGTTGGCGGAGCCAAGCCGAGATCTACGCAGGAGTGAATTCTTTTCGCGCGGCCTCACAGCAGACTAACTCGGACGGACTTGCGCCGTCCGTCCTCCCATCCCTCCCTTGGGTTGTCCGTTTCCTTTCTTTCTTTTAGCTCGGACTGGCACTACAAAAGGCACGGCAGGCGACGGCCCCACAAGAAGAATTCTCGCCGGCGCGGGCCTGTGGCCAACCAACACAGCTACACGGGTCGAAGAAGAATTTATTAAGGAAGAAAACGGAGCCGCGCTCTGGTGTGAGCGGTTGCTGCCGTGCATGCGCCAAGCCCGCGCGCCAGCCCTGCTCGTCGCCCAGCGCGCTGGAGCGGCCGCACACTGCTCGGTACCCCCCCTCCCTGCACACCTAAGCCATGCCGACCCCCCCCCCCACCACAGAGCTCTGCCTGTGGGTGGGGGGTGCTGGCATCTCTGTACAGACAGCTGTAAGTAGCATGCGTTTTCCAGTGGCGAGAATTTATGGTCGGCACCAAAATCAGTGTGGTCTCACCGGCGGGCCCTCCTACTGCCAGCCAGGGGGTGCGGGGCACGCCAGCCTCTCTTCTACGCCTCTCGTGCCTCGCGGCGCCTCTGCTTCAAGGAGGGAAGATACGGCTCTCGCAGCTGTGGCACAGCGGAGAGCACAGCGGGCTGTACAAGTCCATCAGACATGGTTCTCCCAGCCTATCTTCGCATGCTCGTTGTTGGTGATATCTCCGCGCGAGGTCATACGCCGCAGGCCAGCAATCACTCGGTTATGAGACTACTGATGGAGGCGCGACGCTCTGACACCGAGTGTTGCTCGACACTGCGACACCGCCGAGCACCGCGTGCAGCGCTCAACCTCGCGGAGTACACCTCTCGCTATCATCACGCTTCGCGGCGGTCGGGCTGCTTGATTTGTCGGAAGACACCCACATCTCTGCTGCTGGAGGAGAACTTCCGATAATCATAGTGGGTTCGCGATGGACCAGGGGGGCGGCGGCGGCGAAGAGACGGGAGCTGGGTCCAGTGTTCTCTGCTGCTGCCCCCCCCCCAGCGCTCTGCTGCTTGGGGGGTCAGACCCCCCCCCCCCCCCAGCAGCGCTCTTCTAGCAGGGACGGGGGCTTAGAAGTGCAGGGGGGGGTACCGAGCAATGTGCGGCCGCTCCTGACCAGCTCTGCTCGCCCCATCGTCGCGCAGGGGCGGGGCATCCTCTCTCCAGCTGTGCAGCGCGCGATCAGCGGCGTGGGCCCAGCAGACAGAGCTCTCGCGGGTGTTTTTTTCTCTGAGCGAACCCGGGTAGTTGCGATCACACCCATACATGCATAGCGATAGCGTCTGTGGTGTCCATCCAGTCACTGCTCACACTGACTAGCCAGACTGTGCCTCGCCTCAGTACACACACATACGAGTGGAGCTGAACCTTCATTTTCTGCACAAATTAGGGCTGGGAGCAGCCTGCCTCGCTCGCGATCCTTACTATCCTACCTCTAGGTGTCGAAGGGTTGTTTGTGATATGCGGCACGCTCAGCCCTCGAGACTCCAGCCTCGCAATCTCGCAGGCATCTCTGTGCGATGGCTAGCACCCACGCTCACAGTCCTACGATCCTAGGACGACAGAGCAGTTCCGCTCACAATGAATGTGACTGGGCTGGTGACGCCTACCACTACTAACTTTCTACCAGCACGCTTCACAATCCGAGCAAAATCTATGGCTGCGAGCAGCACTGCTCGCAAGCCTAGCTAGGGGCATGCCTCTGGCTCGAGGCCTCTGTATTACACACGTCCTAGCACGGAAGAAGGGGCACACGCACTCTGTTGTCGCGCACGCCGCGATTTCTGGTTGGCTTTCGAAAATCTCTCTCTCTCGCGCGCGGAACACATGGGGCATTACACACGAGGCATTGTGTGCGTTCTCACAGGGAAAGGCATCACAACAGCGCTCTCAATCCTATCTATACCGTCCAGCAGGGTTGCGAGCGCGGGTGCTAAGCTATCGTACAGAGAGCTACGACTGCGAGGAGTGCCGCTCGCAACCCTTCGACATCTACCTAGGGTTGCGAGCGAGGCTGCTTCCAACCTAGAGGTGCACAAAGAAGGTGCCAATACACCCAGCTGCGTCTGCGTGTGTGCCTGGCTGCGTTACATTTTGCGTCTCCGTCATCGAGCGCTGTTTCCGTCTCCCATCTGCTGCTGTGGGATGTGGCTGGCCTGCTGCTGCACATGCACCGGCTTCCGTCGCAGACAAAGAAGCAAAACTCGACTTCTCTCTCGCTCTCGCTCTCTCTCTCTCTCTCTCTTCTCTCTCTCTCTCTCTCTCTCTCTCTCTCTCTCTCTCTCTCTCTCTCTCTCTCTCTCTCTCTCTCTCTCTCTCTCTCGCTTTATTCACGGTCAGCACCGTAAGAGTGCTCGTCTGTAGCGGGCAGGCCGCGCAGATATTTTGCACGGCTGGCATGAGCACCGTCGACGCGGGCGTCGGCGACGAGGGCGCGGCCGATCTTTGGGGCGGCCCGGCCGCGGATCCGGTTTCCCCCAACATCCCCGCGGCGGGGATCGGCGTGCACGGCTCTCCCGATTCCTGCGACGCGAGCGCGACGGGCCGAAGCTCAAACACCCGTGCGGGGCCCGACGCTTGCTCCTCGGCGGCGGCCGTCGCCGCGGGCGGGCGGGCTGACGCGGCCGCGGCGCAAGTCGCATCGGTGCACAGCAACGGCGCGGCAGCCGCGCTGTATGCCGCTGCCAAGGAGGATGTGGCTAAGCCGTCTTCTGCCGCCCCCGCGCCGCAAGGTGCGTCGCCGGGCGGGATTCACGCTGGTGTGGCGGCAGGGTTGGGTCTGGTGTCTTGCTGTGGGCCGGGGGCAACGGACGCAACGACGATGACGTCGGATTCGGCGATGGGCTTATCTGAGTTGAGGGGTTTCCCCCCGGGCACGCCTTCAGTCAAACCTTTGCCAGTCGCCGCCGAGGGGACAGCCGCGGGATCCGGCGCCGCTTCCGACGCCGGCACGACTTCTGGCGCCGCGCATGACCTGCAACCAGCTCCCGCCGGACCGCTTGACGTCGCCGCCATGAAAGATGAGGGCAAGTGTGGGAGCCATGCGGTCACCCCCGTCACCGCCGTTACCGCCACCGCCTCCGCCGCGGCGCCGCCGCTCCAGCTGCAGGCTGCCGGCAACAGGGGGCTGGAGGCGCTCGCCGCCTCCCTCGCCGCCCCCCTCGCCCCCCCCGGTACGGCGTCGCCGCGACGGCCGCAAGGGGGCGACATCGGGATGACCAAATTGGTGGACTCTTTATCGCCCGCCGAAGCGGCGGCACGGCAATTTGCGGCGCAGAGGGACGTCATTGCGATGGCCCTGTCCGGCGAAGTCAGTCCGGCAGAGGTGGCGGAGGCAAAAATGGAGTTGGAGGAGGGCGGCGATTTGGCGCCCAAGTGCCTAACCTCAGCTATCTTTAATATTTATCCTACCCGAGCGTAGGCTTGCGCGGTGTTGAAGCCACCCTCAATGCCACCGCCGTCTGTGCTGCCGCCGTCGGGGGGGGGCAAGCCCGGCTCAAAAACTCCAAGAGGCAAGCCGGCTGCCCTCCCTTTGGCAGATCTGCGTGAGCGCACGTTGCCGGCTTCGATGCCGCCGCCGTCGACCTCGCCTCCCTCGCGGCTGCCGCCGGGCTTACCCAAACCTTCGCTTCCCCCGCCTTCGGTGCCGCCCCCACAGGCGCTGTTGGGCGGCAAGCATCAGTGCAAATGGTGCGCGGAGCGTCGCGTACGGGGCTGCCGCGAATGGAGCTGCGCCTCACGATCTCCATTTATCCCACCGTATAGGTGCGGCAAGGTCTTCGACTCGGGCGGGGCGCTCGGCGGCCACCGAAGCGGCAACAAAACGTGCCCCGGCTATAGCGCACACGACATCGGCAGCGCCGATGGCAATGTCGCAGTCGGGACAGGGTCGCCGGCCAGCCCTATGATTCCGCAGCCCTCTGTGCTCCAAAGCAAGCCGGCTTCGATGCCGCCGCCGTCGACCTCGCCTCCCTCGCGGCTGCCGCCGGGCTTACCTCCACCCTCGCTCCCCCCGCCGTCGGTGCCGCCGCCCCCGTCGCTGCTGGCCATATCCGCAGGTAAGATGCCGGTGCCGCCCGCGGAGTACTTGCGACCAGCCACCGCCGCGGCCCGTATCGGCTATGAGGACGTCCAGGAGTTGGGCAACTTCCGCCTCTCGCCCTGCGGGCGGGAGCGCCTGCCGTTGAGCTACGCGCCGCACGAGGCGCTGTCGATCGAGTACGCACGCCGCGTGGTCGACTACGAGAGCTTGCGCGCCTTCGAGACGAGGGACGGGCGCGGCTGGGGCTTGTGCTGCGCAAAACGCCTCGCGCGGGGTGCCATCGTCGTCGAGGCGGTGGGGCGCTGCCTGAGCGAGGCCGAGTTCGCGCAGCTCGGAAATAAGTACGAGCACCACGAGTACGTGGTCTCCTTTGACGACGCAATGCTCGAGAGGAAGCGGGCGGTTGGCGACGACGTTCTCTACATCGACGCGCGGCAGCAGGGCAACATGATGCGGCTGTGCAACGACTCGGAGACGCCAAACCTCAAGCTCATGTAAAAACATCCTGCAAGCGAGACAGGGACGAAGAAGAGTGTGACAGAGACGTCTCACCAAAATTTCACTGTAGGTACTGGCCCCTGCAGCGGGGCGGTATGGAGCCGCCGCCGCTGCCCCGCCGCGCCTTCCTCGTCGCCACAACCGAGATCCCGCCCTTCACCGAGCTCACGTGGTCGTACGGCGTGCACTACCCTCGCCCGTGGCTGTCTCGGCCGCCGCCGAGCGCTCGAGGCAAGCGCGTGAGGGAGGTGAACAGCGACGACGACTCGCCCAAGCCGCCGAGCCTCCCCAAGTTCCAAAAGTGCAACAAGTGGAACAAGACGGCGGGCTGGATCGGCTGCAGCCGCCGCCTCGGGCACAGCGGCCCGTGCAGCACCACAGTCGCTGGAAGGCGGCCGCGCGCCCTCAGCGCAAAAGTGCAAGAGGGGGTGCGCCTCCTCCTGGCCTCCAGCCGCTCCGGCGGGAGCCGAGCTGGCGAGCGGCGGGACACGGCAGGGCGCCCCGGCGGGAACGGGCGGGAACAGGTCGTGCCGCCCCGAGGCGATCGATACCCCTCTTTGTTGAGACGGGCGAGCGACGCCCCCCTGCCTCGGCCTCTGGCGGGCGCTGCCGGCAGCTCGCAGCAGCAAGACGACTCGTCGCAGGTGCAGGCCAGCCTCGAGACGCATACACTCTCTGCCGCCCGCTGCGCGCGTTGTTTCTTGACGGGTCCGTGTTGCTCTGCGCGTAGGAGGCGGGGGCGGACCCGGAGAAGGGCTGCTTTTGCGGGACGGACCGGCACCTGCCGTCAAGCGGCCTCGTGTTCGCCGGGTTCTGGGTGCATTGCGAGCTCTGCGGCCGGTGGTGCCACGGCGAGTGCGCAGGCATGACGCAGCACCAGGCGGACGCAGTGGACTACTTCCACTGCGCGCTCTGCAGCGACAGCGGGCCCACGCTGCAGGATGAGGGGGGGGGGGAGGGCGGGGAGGAGGGCGGGGAGGAGGGCGGGGAGGAGGGCGGGGAGGAGGGCGGGGAGGAGGGCGGGGAGGAGGGCGGGGAGGAGGGGGAGGCGCGGGAGCTGCCGCAGCCGGGTGAGCGCATCCAGGTGCGGTGGCCGGATGGCAAGTGGTACGGGGGCGTGGTTGGCGCGCCGCCCAAGAACGAAGCTCTGCTCATGGAGGGGGCGCTCTACATCGAGTGCGGCGGCGACCCCGCGCGAAGGCGGCGCGCCCAGAGCGCGGCGCCAACCCGCCGCCCGGCTGCCCGCGAGTAGGTACGACGACGGCGCGACATGCTACGACACGCTGCAGGGCTGGCCGTGGAGGCGGGAGCGCGACGCCGCAGCGGCGAGCCGGAGCCAGCTAGGGAGCCAGGTCTCGAGCGGCGAGGTGCCGCGCTCCGCGCCGCGCTACGACTACGACAGGGACGGGCCGCGCCCTTGCAAGCGCTGCATCCGATTCGGCCGCGGCTCCAAGAGCGCGGAGGCGTGCAAGGGCCACCACGGCAACTCGAGGCGGTGCCAGTTCTTCTTCGAGGACGGCAGCGCAAAGCCCGGAGCCCGCCCCTCGCGGCCGCCTCCGCCTCCTCCACCGCCCCCGCGGCCCCAACGGCCGCCGCCGCCCCCGCCCCCGCCCGCGCTCGCGGTCGCCGTCCCCGCGCAGTCAGCGCGGGGCGAACCGGCCGAGGCGCCCAGCCAGGCCGAGCAGGCGGCGCTGGTGGACGGGTTGTTGTGGAAGGGTGCGGCCGCCGAGGGGTGGCTGGTGACCCGCCGGCGACATTGCCGTCGCATCTCTTGCGGCGCCGAGCGTGTGCTCTCCCCCGACGCGCTTGTGGCACACGCGTCTGTAGGCGGGACGAGGCCACGGCGGAGGACGTGCCCATCTACGAGCACCCGTCGACCGAGAAGGCCACCCTCCCCCAACCCCCCCCCCCTCCCGTCCCCTTGCTCGCTTTTCTCCCGCGCTCCGTCGCAGAGCCCCCGCACACCGCTGCGCCCACCCCGTCCCCTCTCCTGACCCCGTCCCCTCTCCTCCACTTAGTCGTTTCAAAGCCGGTCCGACGCGCTGATGTACGCGGCCATGAACCTCAGCCTGTAGTGGGACTTTTGGCCACAGGTTCGTACAGGTACAGGTGCCGAGGGAGTCCAACCGTTCGAGGGAGGGAGGGGGGGAGGGGGGGGGGGGGCAGACAGAGAACGGCGTGTATGACTGGCGCGCACTCTGGCGGTGCACCTTCTTTTGTGCACCTCTAGAGTTGGGAGCAGCCTCGCTCGCAACCCTAGGTAGGTGTCGAAGGATCGTGAGCGGCACTCCTCGCAGTCGTAGCTCTCTGTACGATAGCTTAGCACCCGCGCTCGCAACCCTGCTGGACGGTATAGATAGGATTGAGAGCGCTGTTGTGATGCCTTTCCCTGTGAGAACGCACACAACGCCTCGTGTGTAATGCCCCATGTGTTCCGCGCGCGAGAGAGAGATTTTGAAAACCAACCAGAAATCGCGGCGTGCGACAAGAGAGTGCGTGTGCCCCTTCTTCCGTGCTAGGACGTGTGTAATACAGAGGCCTCGAGCCAGAGGCATGCCCCTAGCTAGGCTTGCGAGCAGTGCTGCTCGCAGCCATAGATTTTGCTCGGATTGTGAAGCGTGCTGGTAGAAGTTAGTAGTGGTAGGCGTCACCAGCCCAGTCACATTCATTGTGAGCGGAACTGCTCTGTCGTCCTAGGATCGTAGGACTGTGAGCGTGGGTGCTAACCATCGCACAGAGATGCCTGCGAGATTGCGAGGCTGGAGTCTCGAGGGCTGAGCGTGCCGCATATCACAAACAACCCTTCGACACCTAGAGGTAGGATAGTAAGGATCGCGAGCGAGGCAGGCTGCTCCCAGCCCTAATTTGTGCAGAAAATGAAGGTTCAGCTCCACTCGTATGTGTGTGTACTGAGGCGAGGCACAGTCTGGCTAGTCAGTGTGAGCAGTGACTGGATGGACACCACAGACGCTATCGCTATGCATGTATGTGTGATCGCAACTACCCGGGTTCGCTCAGAGAAAAAAACACCCGCGAGAGCTCTGTCTGCTGGGCCCACGCCGCTGATCGCGCGCTGCACAGCTGGAGAGAGGATGCCTCGCTGCGCGACGATGGGGCGAGCAGAGCTGGTCAGCGCGCTTGGCGACGAGCAGGGCTCGCGCGGGCTGCGCCAGAGGCTGCTGGCGGCGCCCTCGGCCGCCAGCTCAGCCGCGCTGGTCGGCGGCCTCGCGCAATGCGTCTCATCCTTTCGTCCAGACAGGCACGCGCTATTGGTCGACGCGGTGCTGAGCCTGCACTGGCGGTCCTTCCAGCGTCCGCTCCCTTCGATGCCAGCGGTCGTGCTCCAGTTCGTGGAGGAGCTGGTCAGCGCCGCGCCAGCGTTTCTGCGGCAGTGCATCTCGGCTCTGACGCACTCCTTCCTTCCGGTCGAGGGCGACGAGGCGGGCGACGGAGGCGGCGAGGACGTCGGGGCGGAGGCATCGACGGCGGCGCTCGTGCACAAGACGCTCGCCGCTCTTCTGCGCGGCTGCCCGATGGGCACCGACTTCGTCTTTGAGTCTCTGCGCACGACGTTTCCGCACAAGCGGCGAGACGCGCACGCGCACGTCACGTTCCTGCGCCATTGCCTCGCGGTGCTGCGCTATTCGCCCGCGCTGCTCAAGCGCGTGGTCGGGCTGCTCGTCGCGCGGATGGTCGAGCTCGACGTCGAGATTGCGCTGCAGCAGCGCCACCTCGAGGAGGCGGAGGGCGAGGAGGACGACGAGCCCATCTTCGAGGTGGACCTGGGCGACTCGGTGCAGGACGAGCTCGCAAAGATGCGGAAGAACGCCGACAAGCTCGACGGGATGATGGCCCTCATGTTCGAGTTCATCGCCGAGACGTGCGGCCAGCGCCGGTCGGTGCCTTTTGCCGCCGGCGCCGCGACGGCGGCGGCGGTAACGGCCGCCGCCAGTGACGCGGCGGGCGGGTCGGCCGCGGGAGAGCCGGAGGCGGAGCTGCCCGACGGCACGGGTGACGCCGAGCGGCTGCTGCACGCGCTGCTCGTCGCCTTTCACGAGTCGCTCCTCTACACGCACAAGTGCCGCTGCGTGCAGTTTTTGCTCTTCTTTGCGTGCTCCTTCTCGCCAACCTTCACCGACGCCTTCCTCGGCCTGCTGCTGCGGCAGGTGGTCAACGAGCAGATCCACTCCGAGGCGCGCATCGCCTCGGCCGCCTACGCCGCCTCCTTCCTCGCGCGCGCCTCCTTCGTCCCCCTGCCCGCGGTGCTGCCGCCGCTGCAGCAGCTGCTGCTCTGGGCCGATCAGTACCAAACCGACGCCACGGCGCGGGCGGGCGGCGGCGGCGCGCAGCTGGACGTGGCGCTCCACGGCGTCTTTTACGCCGTGATGCAGGGCGCGCTCTACCTGCTCTGCTACAAGCACGCCGCGCTCCTCGCGCCCGAGGCGGCCGAGGCGCGCGAGGCGACGGGCGCGCTCGTCGGCCGGCTCATCGGCGGCGCGCTCAACCCGCTCAAGTTCTGCCAGGAGGCGGTCCTCATCGAGTTCGAGCGGCTCGGCCTCGTCCCAGCGTGCACCGCCATCGTCGCCGCCAACGAGGGCACCGCCGTCGGCTCGCGCGACTGCCGCGGCGGCCAGAACCGGCTGGACGACTTCTTCCCGTTCGACCCGCTGCTCCTCAAGGTCTCCTCCGGCTACGTGCAGCCGCTCTACCAGGTGTGGACCCCGTCGCCGGCGCGCTGCCACGCGGAGCGCGAGAGCGAGAAGTCCGCCCTCTCCGAGTCCCTCGCCTCGGACGCCTCCGAGGTGGTTGGCCGCTCGCTGCAAGGCATGTCCCTCACGCCCGCCGGACACACGCCCATCGACGACATGGAGGCGCTCATGCAGAGGCGATTCGCCGAGCAGGGCCAGCTTCTGCTACAGTACTGAGCGCCCACATTCCCGTGAGACTATGTGGCCTCTCTCCCCGATTGTGCTCGCGCTCGTGTGTCGCGATAGCGCGCGCGCGGCCGCCTGGCCACACGAGTCACGCACGAGCGATCTCTACGTTCTTGTGTGGCCACCCGCCTGTGCTGTGATTTCCTGCAAGCGGATATATATCATATGACGCGCACACGAATGCCATGCTGAATGCGCCGCCTCCACCGGAATCCGGATGCGCACTGATTCTGAGTCTACATCTCGTACCCGCGTGCAACCTGAGTGCCGACGGTCTCTTGAGAACGTTTTGATATTTGGCCCTGATATTTGGCTGCGATGTTCTGCAACACCGCCTGGGCTGGCCATCTGTACGTGGCGATCGGGCCCGGGCGGCGACAACAGCCTCGTGGTCACTGGCGGAGCGCCGGAGCCGAATACGACTACAGCGTGGTCCGCTGGGGGTCGTGCGCCGCAGACGCGTCACGCACGCAGCGCTTGTGCGCCTTGATCATGTGCCGAAAGTGGAGCTGGAAGGGCGAGAAGTAGGCCTCGAGGCTGGAGCGGAGCTGCGGAGTGAGCGGGTTGAGGGCGAACGGCATGTCTCGCTCGTCCAGCGCCGCGCCAGCGGTCGGCAGCCGCCGTAGCTTGTCGAGCGCCGTCGCATTGATTCCCTGCAGGCCGACAAATCTGAGGAGCGCCTTGAGCGGCTCTCGCTGACCAGAGTTGGCGGTGGTGGGAGCCCGCAGCCTCGGCTGCTCCTGCGCCGTCGTCTGGAGGGCCTCGCCGATGGTCCGGCGCGGGGGAAGCCCGGGCGAGAACCACTTGAGCCCGGTGAAGGCGGACCGCTCGAGTATGAGCAGTTGTCGGCAAGGGATGGAGGCCAGCCAGAGCGGGAGCGTCAGCGAGTAGTGCGAGGGCTGCAGCGCCCGAGGCGGGCACATGCCAGGAGAGCAGCTGCGAAGGAGCGCGCCCTTGTGGCCGTCGATGCGCCTGGCGCACAAGGAGCCGCACCGCAGCAGCAACTCGGCCGATGCATTCGGCCTGAGCGCGCAGCCACGGTAGCACTCGAGCTCCGACGAGAGGTGGACTTGCGCCGAGAGCTTCTCGCAGCCCACCGCAGCATAGGGCGCGTACGGGAAAGTGGGCGAGTCCCCGTCCCCGCCCCACTGGGCGCGCGGGTCTTTCCAGGGCGGGCGCGCGACCAAGGCACCACCCCGGAACTCGACGCTCGCCGGGTCGTGCGCACACCGCTGCAGCAGCCAGCGAGTCTGCTGGAGCCACGCCCTTTGCACTGGATCAGCAACCAGCAGCACCACCCGGGCGGTGGGGAAGTAGACCCGGATCTGCGCGGGCAAGCAGGCACGGCGCGAGGAGCCCTCAAGCGAGCCGTACCTCTCTGACACCTCCCACGCGAGCGAGCAAGGATCCGCCCACCGCCAACGCAACCTGTCCAAGTATGTGTGCCGCGTCTGCTCTGCGCCGTATCTGCTCGTGCCGCTCCAAAAATTGAGCTCCGTTCGCTTCGGCTCGCAGGCGTTCGGTAGCCGCTGGAGCACGCCCACGAGCGCCGTCACACCCGAGGACGGGTAGCCCGCTCCGATGACGAGCCGAGGCGGCAGGGAGCTGGCCTGCTGCGGCGCCATCACCAATGACGAGAGAGAGCAGGTGCGGTTGACGAACGCCTCGTTGGAGGCACGCTGGCGTGCAAGCCGCCGCGAAAGTGCTTCGGCGGCCGAGGCGGCCCTGTCCGCAGCCTCGGCGTCCACGCCATGCCTCTTCTCCAGCACGGCAGAGGCGGCGATCATAGCCAACGGCACGACCACTGCGAGCAGCGTGCGCAGGCTAAGCAGCGTGCGCAGGCTGAACAGCTCCATATTGCCCAGAGGCTAGCGAGAAGAAGAGGGTCGGGGGTTGGCTCTTGGCAAGGCGTTCCTCGTCGGCGACGAAACGTTTGCCCAGGGGGCCACACCGCGATATTGCGGCGAGCGTCCGCTCGCACCCCCCCAGCGAACTTGTGCGTGCCTTTCTTTCGCCGCTTTTACTTCTTTTCTTTTGTGAAAAAAGTTCTCCTTAATTCTTCTATCTAGTTGGAGAGCGTGAGAGAGTTGTTGTTTGTTGAAGAGCGAAAATAGAAAGAAAACACACGCCAACGAGGGATAGGGAGGAGGACAGGGTCCCCACCTGCACGAGCAGGATTTTGGAAGGACGATCAGGGGCACATTTTCAGTGTATGTAGCTCTTACGTACATTCCCGGAGGAGGACTGCTGACGGGGTTTGCGATGAGGAGCGATCCGAACGTGGCATTTTCGCCGGCACACGTGGGGCTCTCTCTGCTCCTGAACTGACAAGCAAGGCCAGCACTTGGAGCACTTGGAGTGCAGTCGGCAACCTCACATCCAGGGCCGGTGAGCTGAGAAGCGCATCCAGCGGGCCGCCAGCAGGTGTGTTTTATTTTTGCTTGGGGCGGGGGGGCGGGTATCATGATGAAATTCTGCAAAAACCTGACCGGCCCCTGCCCTGCCCCTACCTACCTACCTACCTACCTACCTTACTAATGGGAAACTAAAAAAGAAATCACGCGACGGGTAAAGGTGGTATATACACCAACTAAAGTGATGGCTGGTGGTACTCTCCTGCAACCACAGTCCTTCCTGTGACATGGCAGGCCACTCTCAAGCCCTACATGCTACAAGCACCAGATCAACGACTTGGGGAGGGTTGACATCGTGATTTGCGCGGAAAATTTCTTTTTCTGCTGTGAAAATTCCGGCGTGAGAGAGGGAAAAACCCGACGGGAGGGCCCAGACCCTACCCTACATACCCGCCCCTAGCAAAAATAAAACACACCCGCGGCCACGCAGATTTTCGCAAGACGCCCGGTCGAATGTTCGGCAGACAGACAAAATAACCTCCAACTCCCTCAGTTTCTAGGACTCCCCTCTCAATGACCACCTCTATACACATTCGAGGTGGCCTTATCTTATGGAGGGAAGTGCTAGAATCATCATCTAGGAGGGAGGGGCCCCCCCGCCCGACCCGCGGATACTCCCTCTCGCGCCGGTTCGGCACGCGGGAGATTGCCACGTGGACGGAGGGGTTATTTTGCGAGGTGGAGGCCGACCTCTCAAGCAAGCTCGAGAGGCTTCGGATACCGGGGCTATCCAGAGAGATCTATTACGCCCTTTCTCCTCAACGGCTATCCCTGCTTCGGCACCGGGATTTCTTTTGCAGGTGCTGCGCCCTGCGTGGTCCCCGGTTTGGACCGGAATGTTCGGCAAGCGCGGCCCAGCTGTGGAGGAGACACATGCTTCCCTGCGTGACCACATCTTTAACCGGGACATTGGCGCGCTGGAGGCTTCTCTCGCATCGCTCCGCTGGGCCAGCACTGCCGTCAATCACCGCTCGTCCGACACGACGCCGCTGCTGCTTCTCGCTGCGACGCAGGACGACGCGCCGTCTGTGTCGCTGCTTCTCAGGGCACGCGCCAGCATCAACATAGCTGACAGCTCGGGCGCCACTGCCGCCTTTGTCGCCGCTCGCAGCAACGCTGCCGCCGCGCTCGAGGTGCTGATTCGCAGCGGCTGCGACGTCAACCAACCGCGCGCGTCTGGGGCGACGCCGCTGTACGTCGCAGCACAAAACGACTCGCGAGCCGCGCTCGCGATGCTGATCGCGGGCGGCGCCGCTGTCGACGCGCCGAAGGAGGGCGGCTTCACGCCCCTCCTCATCGCGGCGATGCGCGGCCACGCACCGTGCGTGAGCGCGCTGCTGCAGGCCAGGCCCGCTCCCGTCCCTAGAGCCCGCGCCGCTGGGAGGCTGAGTCGTTCGCGTCTTGTCTGCCGCAGGCCGGCGCCGACCCAGACCGCGCGTACGATGTCGCGGACCGGTGGAGTGCGCTGATGGTTGCGGCACACCTGGACCAGCGCGACGTGCTCGAGGCGCTCTGCCGGGCGGGAGCTTCGGTGCTGCTCCGCGACGCTGGCGGGCGGACGGCGCGGGAGGTAGCCGAGGCGGCGGGGCACGAGTCGGCGGCCGCGCTGCTGCAGGGGCGGGAGGAGGAGGAGGCGCTCGAGGCGGAGGCTGCGTCGCAGGAGGGGCCGTCCAAGCAGCGGGAGGCTTCTCGACGGCACAGCATCTCGTCCGGCGATGGATGAATAGGAGGGGCTGCTGCAAGAGGTGCGCCAGCTCGGGCCCGTGCAGGCGTCGCTGCAGCTCGAGTCGGACGCCATCGCGGCGCTGCAGCCGCAGTGCGCGCGCCTGATTGGCGAGGAGGAGACGTTCGTCGGCGCGGCGCGGCTGCAGCAGCAGTGCCTGCTCGCCACCCAGACGCTGCTCCCCGCGAGACGAGCATCGCTGGAGCGGCGCAGGCTCGAGGCGGAGATCACGGCGCTCGAGGTGCGGGCTGGAGAGGCGGAGCAGGCGCGCCCTCTTCTCTCTCTCTCCCTCCTCCGGCGGCCGGCGAGGGCGGTGCGCGCTTCGACTCGAGCGCCGTTCTGGGTATGTAGGCGTACCGCGCCGCCGTGGCGGCGGTGCGAGACTCGCCCGACGACGTGGCGGCGCTTCCCGCGCGCGACGGCGCCGCCGCCACTTACGCCACCGTGCTGGCACTCGCCCCTCCGCCTGAAGCTGCGAGGCGCGAGCAGTGCGTCCCTCACCTTCTTCGGCGCGAGTAGGCCGCCCTCCGCCTGAAGCTCGAGGCGCGGCGCACGGGGAGCCTCAAGGCGGCTGCGGCCAAGGCGGAGCTCGAGGCGGCGCTGCCAGCGCTGGGAGGGCTGCCGTCATGCCAAGGCGGGCCGCCGTTGGCCGCTGCAGCGCACGAGGCGGGGCCGGCTCCGGCCGGTGAGCCGGCGCCGAGCATACCGGAGGCGCTCGGCGAGGCGCTTCCGGTCCTGCGCGCGATGCTCGGCCAGGCGGGCGAGGTGCGAGTGGGTGGGATGAGACGCGAGTGGATGAGACTGGATGCTGCTCGTCCAGGTGGGCGAGGCGAACCGGGAGACGCAGGAGGCGATGGCGACGCTGCGGCGGGCGCTCGACCGCGAGCTCGAGCTGCTGGCGGCAGTCAAGGGTCCGCTCGCCGTCGCCACGGCGAGATGCGGCGCCGCCCTCTCGGCGGGCGCTTCGGAGGCGCTGAGCGGCGACGCCGAGGCGGAGCTCGCGATGGCGCAGCAGCACGCGTCGGTCGTCGATCAGGA